AAGCTTTGTTTTCACTCTAAAATCTTTTATTTGAATTAAAGCAGGGGATAAAAGACAACCATTTAGGCTATCTGCCTTCCTCAGTGTGACAATTATTTGTTTCTCAGTGATTATAATAAATTACATTATCATGCTCAACATCAGTTGATCATAATGGACTAATCCAGACTCCACTTTAACATCAAAGACTAATTAATGACTAACTAATTAATAAAATGCCTCTCTTTGTAAAAGTTTTTTTTAATCATTAATATATCTACCAGAGCGAAAAACATTAATTTTCTCAATTCCTATACTCTTAAGTTGTTCAATATCATGATTACAATCAATAAAAAGTCTAGCAATCGGGGAAGTAACATTATGTCTACAAATAGCTGATTTATGTTCACTTACTCTGATTCTCAATGACTGTTCTTGTCATTTAGTGAGAATGTCATTAAATGAAAATGGTTGTTTTGTTTCCTTTGATCATTATTTAATAACTGAATTCTTTTTGATTTCTTCACTTTGTCAAACCCTGACTGCATCCAAGTTTGTGGGTATCCTCTTGAAATAAAACGATGACTAATTTCAACTAATTTTATCAGGCAGCTAACACAACCAAACAAATGACAACACTGAACAAAGAGCTGAGAAGGCATAAATGAGTTATTAAAGAGTTAATGGACAGAACAGGTGAACAAACCCAGTAATAAGTGAACAAACAGGTAAATGCTAGGGAACTAGGTCAAGGTACATGTGTTAGGGAAACAGAGCCAAAGCAAAACACCAAGAACACAATGTAATCCTGACAGCAGCGATAACAATGCAGTCTCTTGTTTTATTTTAGATGAAGGCTTACATCAAGAACAGACTTGTGAATTATTTGCCAACAACAAAATATGCATATTTTGCATGGATGTCTAAACATGTCCAGATGGCTTAAATACTCTTTTTAAAAATACGGATTCTATTTTACACAGAATGACAGATTTTCTATTAAATGAGAAATACAACATTTGCTAAGTCATACGAAAACACAGACTTTAACTACTGAGAAAACAAGAGACTAAACATAAGAACAATCTACCAATGAATACAGGAATATCAAAAGAAAGAAATTTAGACAAAGATACTCAATTTATTAAACATTTCAGTTTGGTTGGATAGATAGATAGATAGATAGATAGATAGATAGATAGATAGATAGATAGATAGATAGAAAGATAAATGTTCTTTGTAACAGGATACAACTGAAACAACATTTGTCAAATAAAAGTGGTGAATACCGTAAATAGAAATGGATTAATAGACATAGAGGTTCTGCTTTGTGTGGATACACATGACTTTACACAAAAAATATCAAAATCACAGTTTGAAATGTACGTGATCTACATCTGCATTTAATATTCTACCTGACTGCTGCTGATTCAGTGTTGTCACATGGATGTAGATGATAATTTCCAGCTGTTCTGCTGTATGGCAGTGTTTCATACTGATCTTGAGTTCTGTTCTTAAGTCGGAACATAGCAGTGAGGATGATGATGACGGGTATGAAGTTGAAGATGATGATGCTCCCAGCAAACACCATCTTAAACAGTAACGTTTCTCTCAGGATGGCTTTATCAGCTGTTTATAAAGTTGGAAGCAGCTTTGTTACTCTGCAGGGTCCTTCCTTCTTCCATCTTTTTTCTATCGCCCTTTTATTCTTCTCTATTTGACCTTTTAACTCTTCACTTTTTCATAACTTTCTCATTTTTACTCTCCTGTTGTCTTCTCTCCTCCTCTCTCTGCCTCCTCTGTACGTGAGCAGCTGCGGCATTAAAAGCTCCATCCGCAGCAGCAGCACCAGCAAGTCCACCAGCAGCTCCAGCAACAGCAGCTCCACCAGCAGCTCCGGCAGCAGCTCCAGCAACAGCTGCAACACCAGCAGCTCCAGCAAGAACAGCACCAAAAGGTGCAGCAACAACAGCTCCAACACAAGCTGCACCAAAGATAAAAATTTTACGAATTTTCTCTTGTGCTTTTCTCCTCTCTTCTTCTATCCGTCTCCTCTCTTCCTCTCTCTGTCTCATTTCTTCTTCCATCAGTCTTCTCTTTCTTTCCTCTTGTCTGAATCTCTGAGCATCTTCAAACATCTGATTACTGTAATGTCCTCCTCCGTTCTGCTCTATCATAGAGTTAGACTTCTGCTCTAGATCACTGACCTGCTTTCTGTTATTCTGATCTTTATTGTTGAAGACCTGATATCTGCCGCCACACTGATCTACTAGATCTTTTAATCTACTATTCTTTATAATGGCTTGCTCCATGGATTTTCCTTTCAGCAGATCTCCATGAGTGAAGAGAATGATGGAATATTTTAACACCTCCTGACCAAACATCATCTCAATCATCTGAGGAATCTGCTGCTCCTGCTCAGTGATCCTCACATTCACATTAAACACAATGAGAAAAGCATGAGGTCCAGGACTGGATAAATAAACACTTCTCGCTATCTCTGTCATTAACTCCTCAGGGCTCATCTCTGTATCAAATAATCCAGGAGTATCAACTACAGATATTTTTCTTCCTGAAACAGTGATGTGTTTCTCTGAACATCCACTGGTTTCTGATTTTGTGTCAGGTGTCGATTTAAACACCTCCTCTCCCAGTATTGTGTTTCCAGCTGAACTTTTCCCAGCACCACTTTTACCCAGAAGAACAATCCTCCTACATGAGACGCTGTCATCAGAGGTGTCCTGGACACGGATGGCAATACTTTGCCAAGGATTTTGGGAGACTGTATAAAAAAAGAAAACTGATTACAAAACATCTAATGTTTTCACCCTGGAATGTACTTCTGTGCTAAATTATATATTAATAATATAAATGATTATACTAACACACTACAGTTAACATCCAGCAAATATTAATTCTGCAGGCAGATACAAGAGAAAGAATATCACTATTGCCTAAACTACTGCTTTGGTTTGTTGCATTTTTACAGATTTATTTACGTTTAGCTGCTCTTTTTTTAATCATTACCCTAAAAAAATCTGTAGATACTGTAAAAGAATGAATTAAATATTCTTATTATTTTGAATTAATAAAGCCTAATTCCTTCATGTCTAATGCAAACCTTATCTTCAAATTTGGTTAAAACAGACTTACGATTCTTTAAGTTGTTCTGGAAAACTTTAGTTATCAGAGATTTCACTTGGCCACTTGCTCCTCTCTTGTTGTTGAACACGTGAAATCTGCCTTCATATTTCTGAGTAAGTTTCTTCAAGAATTCAGTCTTATTAATGACTTCATTTATCTTCTTGTTTTCATATTCCAGTTCGTCTCCTCTGGTGAAGAGAATCCAGATTTTATTCAAGCATTGCTCTCCCAGCAGCTCCTCAGCCTTCTTCACAATTTCTTGATCTTCTTGTGTGAATCTGTCTGACCGAAGAACCAGGAGAAACGCACACATGCCTGATTCACATTTCTGGAGAACCTCCTGATATTTCAAAAGCTCTTCCTCACTCTCTGCACCAGAAAATCCTGGTGTGTCATAAACAACGATCAGTAATCCACAAACATCACCGACTTCAGTAGTAGATTTGCAGCTTTTCATTATACTAAATGCTTCTCGTCCCAGTATTGTGTTCCCTGTTGAACTTTTCCCAGCTCTTGTTCTTCCCAGCAAGACCATATTCAAACACACTTTTGGCATTAAGTGTGTTCCCTCCATTTTTACTCCATAACCTAGAAATAAATAACATCAACATGGTGTAAGAAAAAAAAAACACACATTGAATAATTTAGGTCTATATGTTTTGATCATTTATTTTGCTGTTTGGAAAGGAATAACAAGAAACCCAAAGATGGTTCTTTTTTTTAACAAACTGAAAATAAGATTTCATCTTGGTTTCTCATTTTTTTTGAGCACAAATTGGATTATGGCTTCAGTATTTCATTTGCACATGTGAGCAGCAAACATCCCTTTCACCTGAACTTCTTAATTCATAGAGTTGGTACAGCACTACTAATTTGTTTAGAATATTTTTATATAAAACTGCGAAACACCATTTAATAATAATCAATTATATATATATATATGCAATAATAAAATATTATCAGAACTTTTTATCTCACAGTTCTGGCTTTATAGCATGCAGTTGCAACTTTATATCACATAATTCTGACTTTACTCACAATTTATACGTATATAAGAATTGCAATATTACATCACAAAATTTTGAGTAAAAAGTCAGAATTGTGAGTAAAAAAAGTCACAATTACCTTTTTTATTTTTTATTTAGTGGTGGAAACAAGATTCCATAGTATATATTGTTTCATTATCTCATTAAAGAGCGTCAGAGTTTTCTACACAAATCACATTAAATTACAGTTTATCAAATGTACAATTTTCTGTCAAATTCACTTACTTTTGGAGCGAACAACATCTGGACTGATGGCCACTGCAAAACGCAACAGAAAAACTGTTAGTGAATCTGGTGAGCATTACTGTATGGACTATATGTCAAAGGATAATCTCTGTTGCTGTCAAATCATTTAAAGGACTTACTGTTGGGACGAGGTAAATCTGGACTACTTCTGGCTGCAGCAAAACACAAACTGTTAATGTATCTGATGAATCTGAAATGTGTGTTATTTGTTGATCTGGTGAGTCACAGTTATTTTACTGTATACTTTAGATGTTTAAATAGAGACTTTTTTCAAAGTGATATGATATAGCACTCAATGGACCAGTGTTTTATTTTTCTGTTTAATTTCTGTTTTTCTGTTTTAATGTAATTAAACTTGAGTAAATGACAGAATACTTTTGGTTAACACAATCTAATCTGCACCCTTAAACACTGAAGTGGCAAATCTTGTTATTTTTAAATAGATTTCGCAGAACAACAGACTACATGCTTTATATTTACAAAATGCATTCACCAATTTTGAAGGAATTAAATGTAATATACACGCCAATCGTAACTAAATAGAAAAGACTTAGAGATTTTACAAAATATATCTAGGAATCAAATTAAGTAGGTTCTTTTGTCGATATATGCCAATCATAAACAAAGAGTTATTACAGACAACCCCAATGATTTTATGATTAAGAGCTATAATCATTGATTTAGAATTACATTGGATACATTCAGCATTTAGCTAATCTAACCTTCGTATTTGGTTGTTGATCTACTCGCATCTAAAAATAAAATACGTCCATGTAGGCTATTTGCAAAATAGAGGTAAAATACTTACAATATGTGGGGGGGAAATTGCAAACAAACTGGACGTTCACTGGAATTTCTTCAACTGGAATTAACTTTAATGCTTTTCTTACCTCCATAAAGATGCTAACAAAATGAATCGTTTGTTGTGTTCCTCATTTGTAAGTTGTTTTGGGTTAAAATCGTTTGCTAAATGAATACATTTAAAATGTAAATACTGATGAGATGTAATGTGGGTTGTTTTTTGTTCAGATTTGCAGTCTACAGTCTGTAGGTTTGAGTGCTCTGTTTTTAATTCTTTGATTATTTTGATTAGGCTATTTTAGTATTTTGTGTATGTTTATTTATTTATTTGAAGGGGTTCGTTTTACGGAGTGTCTATTTACACTAAGTGCGAATAGCTCGCCTTGTTTTATCATTCAGCAGAATATTGTTTTCTCATTGCGCTGCATGTTACATTGTTACACCCCCCCAGATGGTGCTCAACGTTAATGCCAGTTAAACACAGACATATACAGAAATCATGAAGTAGTATTCATAAAGATCTGACAAGCAAATGAATGACATTCAAGTGTTCTTTGAGCTCCAAGACAGTAAACGCAGAAGAAATGTACATGAATACTTAAAAGAATGAATGTAGCTTCAACTAAAGCAACAGTTTATTTATCTTTTACTTGTCAGTATATTTAAAGATCAAAGTATAAGTCCAGATGAAATCCATAGTAATGTCAGTGTATATAGGACAGAGAAAATTACAGTCTCTGACTAAAATATGATGATATAAAGAAAAACGGTACAAATAAACCTCAGAACAAGAGCAGAGGATTCATTTTTGACACTTAATTGAAATATTAGAAAGTTCAGCAAAACATATTTGTCACAGAAAATATATTCTATTACATCTAACACTCCCCCCATGCAAAGATAAAAGCAGTCCATCTTACACTACAGTGAAATAAATACTGTTTCAAGACCACAGACCAAATAGTATATTGCGTATTAAACATTTCAAATCTTTAAACTCACACACAAAGGATGTTTTTTTTGTTTAATTACATGGTCAATTAATTAAATTACTTAATTCATTTTGTTTCTACACTTACTTTTTGCCACATAAATAGAGTAAGCTGTCACCCACATTTATTATTTTTCCGTTTTTATTCAACAAATCAAAAGCAAAATAAAAAAATTCTCAGACTCTCATGTGTGGCGTCATTCTGTGTGTCCAATAGCTATTGTCAAAACTGTTAACTGTTAGCCTCAAAATATTCTTTAAGAAACTATAAGTACTAAATAGACAGACAAATGGGTTATATATTACTAAGAGACTAAAGTTAAAATTGTCTGTTTAAATATTTTGTATACTTTATAATTGAGTATTCACATTTTTTTACAAGTTGTATTCATACTTCGGCTACTTCACAGTTCTATAGTTCAAAACTCACATGGTTGAGTCCCACAAGTCTAGCTGAGATAGTTGCTTACACTAGAACTTCAGATTGCCCCTTTTAGGTGCTAATACAAGAGGTTACGCAGCATTACAAGTTTTTATTTTAATGCCTCCAGATGGCCCAGTTCTCACTTTAAAAAAATGAAACTAAAATCTTTACTCTCACTTCTCATCAATTTAATGCATCTAGTTGAATAAAAATATGAATTTCTTCATAAAAAAAAACTCACTGCAAACTTTTGAACAGTATTGTACACTACCATTTAAAGGTCTGGAGTCTATTTAACAATGAATTCTGGGGGGGGCGGGGGGAATCTGTTTACACTAATATTTATCAGCACATCTGGTTTTTTTATATTGATATTGATAATCAGAAATGTTTCTTGAGCAGCACATCAGCCTATTAGAATGATTTCTGAAGATCATGTGACACTGAAGACTGGCGTAATGATGCTGAAAATACAGCTGTGTATCACAGAAATAAATTAGTTTAACAGTTATTCACATAGAAAAGTTCTCTTGAATTGTAATATAATTTCACAATGTTATTGGTTTACCTTTTTTTTATATATACAATAAATGGAGCTATGGTGGGTATAAGACTTCTTTCAAAGATGCAAAAAATCCTGCTGACCCCAGACTTTTGAACAGTAAATTACAGTTAGGATGTTCCTCCCATTTCAGTAATACTGTGGCATATATATATATATATAGTCCATACCATAGAGACTGTGCCTGTTCCCTAAATGCTGAGGACAAATAATGTTTACTAAGGGATCTAGAATAAAATCGAATTGTCATTTAACCAAATAATAGCAAGGTAAGCTAAATAATGTCACAAAACTATGGACAATTGATAGTACCCAAGATATCGAAGTCCAGTAAAGCAGGCAGAGCTTTTTCGCATTTTACTCTTAAACTCTCGAATAGCCTTCCTGATAATGTTTGGGGCTTAGACACACTCTCTCTGTTGAAATCTAGATTAAAAATACATATTTTTAGCTAAGCATTCACATAGCACATCTCATACTCCAGGGATGAAATGTGGTTGTAACCTTGAAACATGCATTTTCTAAAGCTGCTTTGATTGTGAAAAACACTGTACCCTTACAAAAGTTAACCATGTTTTTACTATGGTAAAACTAGTAACCATGACTGTAGTAATCAGGGTTTTTTTTCTCAAACTATGGTTTTGATATCATGGTTATACTATAGTAATATGTTTGGTAACTGTTCATTTACTTTTATATTTGATTAAAGTTCTATTTTGACCCCTATAGTAGGTGTTGGTTTTTTTTCCTTTTTTTTTTTTTTTTAACTTCCATAATATTTGAGGGAGGGGGCACAACAGTGCAATTCTGCTTAGGGCACCCATTTGGCCAGCAGTGGCCCTAGTAAGAATGCTTCTGCTCACCAAGCCTGCATTTATTTAATCCAAAGTACAGCAAAAACATAAAAAATAAAGTTTCTTGAACAGCAAATCATCATATTAGAATGATTTCTGAAGGATCATGTGACACTGAAGACCGGAGTAATGATGCTGAAATTTTAGCTTTGATCACAGGAATACATTTCATTTTAAAATATATTCAAATAGAAAGCAGTTATTTTAAATAGTAAAAATATTTCACAATATTATTGCTGTTGCTGTACTTTGGATCAAATAAATGCAGGCTTGGTGAGCAGAAGATAATTCTTTAAAACAAACAATAATCTTACTGTTAAAAAAAATGTTAAAGTAATAGCAGCCAAATAACCTAATACCCAGCTGCTGTGATGTATGTTAATCAAAGAACAAAAAAGAAATCAATCACTTAAGGATTTATCTATATTTAATTTAGTGTTTGATAACTTTATTCAAATAATATAGGCTATATTTCCTACTTAGGTACAGGTAGTCTATATATGACATTTATGAAAATGGGTTTATGTGAATGTTTTAAATTCACTTAAATTAGGAGCTGTTATTTTTAAAAGTATAATACATGTTAAAATACCTCTCAATTATACTGCAATGTTGAATGGCTATAGTCAATG